GCCGGCGCCCGCCCAGGGACGCGGGGCAGCTCCAAGGCCCTCGCCGCCGCCCCCCGGCCCTACCCTGCTGGTCGAAGTCGCTGAGGAAAAGCGCGATGCGCTGATCCTTCTTCTCCTGGGAGAGGGCCCCGCGGTCGGGCTCCACGCCCGAGTCGGTGCTGCGCCGCTTGCCCGCGGGCTTCCTCAGGGGCATGGCGGCCACGCCGCAGGATAAACCACCGCTCCTCGCCCGGGAAGCTTTTGTAAGAGCGGGGGCTTCTCTCTCCCCTCTTCCTCCTTTTCCTCCTCCTCCCCCCCCCGGGCCCGGGCGGACACACCCTCCGGGGCGGCGGGAGCGGGCGGCCCCGGTCGCCTGTGAGGGGCTGCATGTGTGAGGGGACGGGGCGTCCCGGGAGGCCCCGGTCTGTGGGGCAGGGGGAGAGGGTATCCCCGGGGTCCCCGGCCTCTCCTGTCAGAAGGGAGGGAAGGAGGTGCGGGGAGGGTGGGAATCTTGGCGACCCCCGTCTCGGTGGTGCTCCAGGGATGGGCCTGGGCACGGCCGGACTGGCGCAAAGCCGGGACCCTCGCGTCCTGACAGGAACTGGGCAGGCTTGCATAGATGCAGACGCACATGCGCTTTGCCCTGGTGGCACAAAATTGATTGTGCTTTTTTGTTATTTGCTTTGAAGCGGCCGCTGCTGACCTCGGCACATGCGGAGCTGCGGTAGGGCAGATGACCGCTTTCATCCTGGGCGTGAGTAGTAACCGGGGCGCCGCAGGATGTCGAAGGCAGGCCCAGGGCCTGGGGCAGGCGGTGGTTGTGCGGCCAGGGTTTGGACAGGTACTGGGAAACCTTTTTGCTGTGTAGGAAGGACCCTATTTCAGAGGTGAGGTTTGGTTTTAGCTATTTTACTGCTGTTAAGTGTGCAGAATATGCAGTGCTTCAAAGCTAGCAAAGTGAATAACCAGTTCTGCCTGATGCAGATGGTTACAGGCTGTGTAAATTCTAATCAGGTGAAGAGTATTTAATAAACATGTAATAATGTGAAACATTGGAAAGGCATGACTACACGTAGTATTGAATGTATAAAAACATTCAAAGCCACATCCTTAAAAGTAGAATTCCTTGCAGAAACTATCTTACATGCATCCAAATAAAAAAAAATCACACCAGAGGTATGAGTGTCTTAGGTTTCGTACAAATGATCAAACCTGTATTCTTTATTGACCAGGGAACTGTGTAAAAAGGAACTGGGATAATATTCTAAATCACTAGGGGTTTTCACACAGTGTATGTAGTTGATGTCGCAAGTGCTCTGAAGTTAGTGGCTTTTTCTGTATCATATGCGTCTGGCACAGTATCGTTATCTACTGGTCCAGATGGGACAGCCTAGTCACTCAAAAAAAGCTGTAAAAAATCTGAGTGACAACTCATAATATAAACATTTTTATATCAGACCATGTTCTTGTTCGTAAAACAACCAACCAACTCCTCCCCAAAAACCAGGTAAATGTTTCTGTGCCAGAAAACACTCAAATACCTGATACAAAGACAATAGTCTGCTTTCGCTATGATGCTGCCAAATGCATATATGTTTAGGGAAGCAGGACTAGCTTCCCTTTCCCTAAAGTTCATTTTCTTTTGAATTAGCAAACAAACGCCGCTAAAGTAATTCTGAGGTGTCTCTGCAAAAAGACAAGATTGTGTTGCTCTGTAAGTTTAATCTCATACAAGCTGTGTAAGAAGATTTTAAAAAGGAAACAACTGACAATACCAAACAAATACCTCACCAAAGCTTTCAGGCCACAGTTGGTCGACCTTAACTGATTGATCCTCTCTATGAAGAAAGAAGTCTGGCTTGCTTAACTCCTGGTTGCAACTCCTTACATAAAAAGATATGATTAATTATGAGCATAAAACATGCCTAAAACCACCTCTGTACAGTTCTGCATTGGTAAGGAATAGTTTTGTGATAACAAGTTTGACAAATTTCAAGTCCATAAATTGGAGTGATGCAAAAATTAATGATCTGGTAGATGGATTAAAGTAAATACTAGTTGGAACATGAAGTTAGATGCCTCATAGTGCAATCCAGCAAGTGTTGCTTCAGTGACATAGGAAATGGAGAACTATTACCTTTTTTTATTTAACATGTGCTTTATTATTTGGAAGTCTCATACATCTGAAGTACCATTGTAAGGAGCACCTGTAGGAAAATCAAACCTAGAAGCATGCATTTGAAAGTAAGGATTGTCTGTTATTAATGAAATATTTCAAAGACATTGAAAATAAGCCTCTTTTCTTAGCTTTACAGGATTGTTCCACAAAAATGCACATTAACCTTATCACAGTACATACAAATATTGTAGATGGACAATAGAAATCACCACCCTTCCATATGAGATGCATCAAGAACAAATTGTTATCCCTTATAATGTCAGAAACATAAAAGGCACCATTAGAATGTTTAGAAAAAACTCAGTTTATGCCATTGTATTTTGATTTAAAAGTGTAAGAATTGCTGTCCTGACTTAAAACAAAAAGCCTTTCACACCTGTAAATTATCATTAGAAACTTGTAAACCTTTACTTTTTTCCCAGAATTATCAGGTGCAAATGCAAGGCAAATATAAAATCTATTGACTTATTAGATTACAAATACTACCCCATGAAAAAGCTGTAGTTAGAAAAATATAAAAAAATATTCTAACTCCCATTGTTAGATCTTAGCTTCAGTCTACACTGCATTACGAGTCCAAAGCCAGATCTGATTTGGACACATTCCTTGAATAGGAAAGTGCTGTTTGTCTTATTTTTACATCAATATTCTGACCTCTTACTACAGTTTTGCTTTCTGGATTTGTTTTATTAGTGCATATTAAGGATGCCAAGTGGAGAGTGCTAACAGATAAAAGGTTGTATTTATCAATGGATAGTAGCAATGTTAAGTGTTCTCAGTCTGCTCTCCTTCAAGAAGTCCATTTCTCCAAGGATAAAAGTGTAAATTTTTTTCTCCAAGCCTCCATAGTAACTTTGTGTAGCAGCATGCCATTTTCATTTATGAACCTGTGACCCCTGGCAGGTGATTGAGAAGTACTAAATTCTTCTCACAGACTTCAGTAAGGAATTGTGACTATACGAACTGCTAATGCTACGTCATAGACTAGCAGCTGCCTTTGCAAGGACAATTATTGGCAACATCTCTTGTCATCCACATGTAATAGATTGGCACATACTTTATCCATATGGTGATTCTCTAGCCCTTGGCTTTAGTAAACTAGATCAGCATAGGATGTTGAACCAGCTACAAAGGCAGCCTAACAAAGTGCTAGTAGTCATTAAAATGAGTTTACTTCTAAATAATAACTTAAAATTAATGACTAGATTAAATGAGATATTCTTAATGTGACTAAACTTTGTAAATGCTGAGCCTAAGCCTGACAAATGCTAATGGTTTCATGGCTGAGTACTGGAAGCTATGTTCCTTCAGTCCCTTATTGGTGCTAGCAGAAGGTGTCCAGCTTCCAACTCCAGAGAAACAGAAGCCTTCTTTTGTTGTGCAGGGAAACTTGACATAGATTAGTAGAGTAATACAGCTGTACTCCTAGAGAGTGACCTGGTTTAGCTGGGTTTTAATAAGCACTCAGGATCCTTTAGCCAGCAGTATGACTCTGGAAGATTTAAGAGTGAGCTGTATTATTGTTACCTTTATGCTTGATGCAAGACATTTTCCTTTAAATACCTTTTCCTTCATTAGAAACCACCCCCAGCATTTCTCCTGGTAACATTTGTTAGTCCTTGCCAGTTCAAGCTGGATTTTGGCCAACGGGTCTCTCAGTCATGTGGTTCCAAAGAAATGTTCTCCATAGATAAAGCAATTCTGAAATAGTGTTGTATTTTACCCTATTTGAAAGGATTGACAGTACTCATATCTGCTTTTTATTATGTTCCATGTGTATAAAAGATGTGACCTAACAGGAGACTCATGGAGTTGTTATGAGAGGAAGCGTTCAGTGCTCTTATCTTACGCTGGGATAATGTGTTGAATAGCATATGAATAAGGAGCTATTTTTCCTCATTATGTTTCAGTTTCATAAAAGCAGGGTTCAAGTAGACACCATGTTCACTCCTCTGATCAAAACTGTATATTCTACTCAGATTATGGTGTGATGGCAGGATTTCTTTTTAACAGATGTTCACAGGTATCTGCACACATCTGCCAAAGATATATTTTTTTTAAATAAGCTCGCTGTACCTACATGCTTAATCAGATTTGGAGAACACTTCATACTTAACAACAACAAAAAAAATTAAACCACACAATACCTATAATGCAGCCTTTTGAATTTTTGTTTAGTAGAATTTTAAGATGGGAAACATGTTCCTAGCTAAACAATTGCTCTTGGCATTTCTCTTTTGTAAAAAAACCCACATAACAGTAGTAATTTTAATGAGCAACGCCCTTCCCCAACCTATGGAGTCAAAAGTTCACAAATGTAACTTCCAATCAAGGCACAAAATCATTTACTGACTCTTCCTTCTCACCGCTTTCTTCACATTCTCCCCTTCCCCTTAAAAAAAAAATTGGTATAACAATGTCTTCTTAAATTTAATAGTCCAATAAGTTGCAGCAGTATCCGAGATTGTTTTTATCTATTTTGAATTTAGTTAAATTAGATGAACAGCACATTCTCAGCACATCTTTGTTCATTTTCTCCATTCGCCTCGAAGGGGAAGGGATGAGGGGAAAAAGCCACAGTAGTTTCATGCATATTTTTCAAGAAACTTTATGTGGAAGTCTTTCACTTTCTCCAGTAGGATCTTCAGCTTCTCTGCTGGAGGAAGAATTGTCATTCTGAAAAATAATATTTAAAGGAAGAAAAAAAAAACCAACCCATATTATCTTCAAAACAAACTAAACTGTGATCTTTGCACAGATCTTGATTAATCTCAGGGCACAGCTAGTAATGTGTTAAGTTTAATATCTGTTTTGATGTGATTCTCTTATTTTCTGCACTTATGCTTTAATTGAACTATACTATTAAACCAGAGCAAATGGTTTCAATTGGTTAATATATAGGAATTCAAGAATTGTTATTTTCTGTTGAGTGATAAAGGAGGTTATCAGTAAGAAATAACAGCAAGTCAGTTTCCATTTTTGGGGCAGTTATGCCAAATTATACCCAATTTTTTGAGCTTTAGGGCCAGGCAGTTATAAGTAAATGTACATTTCTTTTTGAATTGAAAACTTAATTCAGAAGCATTAAAACAATGCAACATCCCACACTGCAGTTTTTAGTCCCTTTATTCCTTCTTCTGCATCATCTGAAAATCATGTTAAGTATGTATGCAGGACCTACAGAACAAAATGTTTTTCCCACACTGTTACAGGAATGGACTCACACTAGCTTTTTCCTGGAGCTGCATGCACCCAGATATCTAACCCAGCTATCTGTGTTGCAGAACTATGATTGCTAAAGGCACCCTCTGTTATATTGCTTCAGACCAAACAAGACTAAATTCCATTATAAATTCTAGCTATCAGTGGCTTGGCTGGAGTAAAGTGCTGTTTATTGGAAGCAAAAGCAATAGATTTTATGTTCACAGTTTTGGTATTAGAAGATTTAGTCCAACATCTTGTTTTGGTAAAGTGAAGAGTTATTCAGCGTGTTTAAGGAGCAGATCTATAGGGAAGATATTGCACCTTTCATGCAGTTTCTCCATATGGAAACACTGTTTAATCTTCCCTCCCCCAGAAGAAAGCAGGGGAATTTTTGTAGTGCCTTAGCCAACTTCAAGATTAGAGTATAAGCTATTATCATCGTTTGTATTCGTGGAGAAGGCATTTCAAATGTCAGTGTATAAAAATAGAATAAAACTATGTTAGCAAGCTGTGAAAAAAAATGTAAAAACCTGAACAGCTCATCTAGCAGACCAGGTCTTTGACCTAGTTGTCAATCCACAGAAAATGTCCAGCAGAAAGTGAGACAACATAAACTGAAAAATTCGTATATTTAATCAGAAGAGAAGGTACTGGGATGGTACTTAGCTTATTACAGTTCATTTGATTTTAAACAAACAGAAACTGTACCTGAAATGGTAGCTTCCCTCTCTTTGGCCGAATCCACTTCCAGGTACAACACATATTCCAGTCTCTTCCAGAAGTTTCATGCAATAAAACATATCAGGTGCCATTTTATGAGCCTAAGGGAATGCATACTTTGGAATTATTGAAGCCAAAATATTCCAAATATATAGAATTTCATGACTGCTTTTCTTCCTGAAACCTTATCTTACATTATTAGTTTCTTATTCTATTTACTAAAGAGGATGAAGAACAATTGCTAATGGGACAGTTCACACTGTGAATTAAGTAACAATACTTCACAGAGGAACAAGGCTGAAGAACCTACACAAAACACCCGCTTCAGAAGAAAGGTTTTAGATATTTTTGGTTTTCTCCTTGACTTGCTTGAAACTTTTTGTCAAAAGTCTCAAAATCGTACTTAGAAAAATCTAAGCCACTGACATTTGACAAGATGAAATTAATTTGAGAGCTGTGTGTTCCAGTTCTGTTGGCAGTTACTATATTTTTCCCCTGAATTATCTGCTGACTAGAAAGTTTAATAACTGTGGAAGTTCTTAAATACATGCAGGTTATCTGCCTAATCAAATAATCAGCTGAAAAACAGCCCTATTTTTGTTCTCAGCTATGCTGATAAAATTCCCTTTAAAAAATGAATATTACACATTAGGTAACAGAGCTCTAGTTAGGAACAAAAAGACTTGTCATTTAGTAATATAGCTTACTGACCCAAATACCAAAAGATATTGTACAGAAATAAAATTTGTAAGGAAACCTCCCTCCCTCTTTCCCACACTTGCTGAATGGGGCTTCTTTTGCAGGGTCAGTAGCACACTGCCGTTCACAATCCCTGTCGCACGTGCTGGCCTACCTAAGCCAGGCACAGGCAGCAATTTGGAATCTGCACAGGTCCAGCTAGTTGCCCACCCTGTGATTTAATCTATTTAAAACTAATGTCCTTGGGTAGCATTCTCAACCTGGAAGCTTTACCACTGTGATGAAACACTGTTTAGTTTTCCTCTCTTAAAATAAAGGTCATGTTATATTTAAGATCATACGTAGTCAATGAAGTACTGCTTCTGTAACTACATGAGCTTACTCTATCTCTGGAATAAAAATTCATCATTAGAAGTGGCAGGCACAAGTGTGTGAAGGTTAAAATGGATTGGGGTTAAAATGACTGACTTACCTTTGCTTCCTCAATGGCTTTGGAAGGAATAAAGATTCGTGGGAAAGCATACATAGCTCCTTGAAGTGGATTGCAGTGGATTCCTGGTACCTTGTTAAACATATCTTCTGTTAGTTTGGCTTTTTTGGCAAGATTGTTCAAAACACACTCCTTCTCCTGTTTGAAAGGAAGGTGTTCAGTTTGATGTATTTGAAGTGGCAATAAAAATGCCAGAGAAAACTATGATGCTTCAAGAAGCCTTCCCCGAATTAAGCACTTTTAGGGCTTTGCTAAGCTATTAGAGCAAATGATGTTCCTAATTGCAGTCATACGCTTAAAGACAGCAATGCAAAAAGGCATTAGCAGGATAAAACTACAAAGTGTTGTAGATAGATAGACAGACAGTGACTTGCAGAAGTCTCTATGTGCATGCCCTCTTCTTACATTTTTCCTTCCGAGCATCCACTTTTGGCTATTTTTAGAGACTATGTTAGCTGAACCTTTGATCTAGCTCAATACCATCATTTCTTAAGCCAGATTCAGTTTCATTTTTACAACTGAGAAACTATATGTATACTTTAATACAGAATACCATGTTCAGTATATAGAGGCACTGGATACCTAAGAACAAAGCTGATTTTATAGCTCTATTTGAACTTACATTCCTGTTTACATTTTAGTAAAAGCAAATCTTATTTAGTAATTCTTTTGCCATGCTAAACACAGGAGAAAAGTTGAATTTATCAGCAAGAAAAGATGATTTGATAATGCCGTCTTAGCTTTTTTTTTGGCTCCTAAACAAAGGAACCATAAAAGGAATAAAAAAATATTTTTAGAGGTAGTCATACTGAGTTAATTTAAAATACGCTGCATAGTTCTGTAAATTGGTGTTACTACAGGATTGTCCAAGAAGAAAGGAAAAAAGTCTGATCTCTGTGCATATTTTGAGTTCACAATACTTAGGATAGGTTTAGGAAATGCACAAAAGACCAAGCGTGTTATTGCTGACCTTTATGAACTGTGAATAAGATTCTTCTCCAGGTATTGGAGGATTCACTACAATATCCATTGCTGCTTGTCCCGAGACTGGAGGACAAAGGCGAACAGAAAGCAGCTTAACAAGCTGTCCTTTAATTTCTGGGTGCAAGTTAATGACCTCCATGTAACCTCCTCTGTAGCCACATCTGTGATTAAAGTGAACAGAAGAGATCGGTTAACCTCAAGTGTATAAATACTGGAAAAGCAATGAAAATAACAGCAGAAGTGGAAAGACAATTAATAAGGATCTTACAATATGTAACATACAGGTTGTTGAAACAGCTGCTATACTGATAATGTTTTAAGATGGAACTAAATGATACGTCATTAAGCACTAGTATCCCATACAGAGAAAATTGTGTACATGCAGCTTCCCTGTTAGGCAAGTTAACGATTAACTTGGATTGTTTGCTCTTCAGAACAAGAGCATATGGCTGTAGGAGCATTCATTTAATCAGAAAATTCTTTTTCTTCCATCTGTTCCTCCTCAAAACAACCAAACCCAAACATTTGTATCAAATGTCCCAGTGATTCTTGAGCTGTTCCCTGAATGTTGGAAACTATTCTGATTTATCACAGGTACGGTTTAGGACTGTAGGATTTCACCTTTGTGGACTTGAGACATTAGATGTCTGAAATAAAGACACTTATTTTTTGGTGGTTTGAAAACCACTGAGCTAATCCATTACTCTGTGCTTTAAATGCTTGTTTTCCTTTTCTTAATAGTTTTTAGTTAAAATTAATAGAAGACAGTGGATTACCTTCAGGTCACTAACATGAAACGGCTGTCCAACCAGATTAATGAGGAAGATGAAATAAAAAAAAACAACAACTAAAGCAGACTTACTCGCCCATGTATCCCTTAGAGGTGGAGTGAAAAGAGGCCAGCTCAACAGTGTTATAGTACTCAGGTCCCATCTCATACAGAATCTTTTTGAAAGAATGAAACTGGCATCCTTCAGAGTACACGTTGTCCTGGTAAACCTGAACAGTCAGAAGACATTAATGTGCTCTGTTCCCCCAACTAAGGATAAAAGATGGCCTTTTAGAGAGCCAGATCTGAACTGAAGAAACAGTGGTAACACTCAAAGCCTTAGAAGACACAAGGTTCTTTGTTAAGTAATAGTTACTGTAATGATACATTTTACCTCATGTGGCCCTACTTAATAGTTTAGCCTTTGGAAGAACAGTGAGTTTCTTTGTATAATTTAACCTTCACTTGTATGTTTAAATTGATTTTCCTTCTGTTTCTTCCATTTGAAGTGGTCCAAGTATCACATAGGTTTTTAGGTCAGTTCCAGCAAAGTTCCTCCTTGTGTCTCCTTGCTTGTGCCCCCTACACTTTCTCTCTAGTTCAAATCCAGATCAAGCCACCTCTCATATTAATCCTCTGATATTAAGCATCTTGCATGTTTGTTCACATCTTAATATGACAACAGAGAATCTGTTCCCTGTACTTAAAAAATACCAATACCGCACATGGAACAAAATTACACCTCATATGTGTACTCCTAGCTGTGCTTTTGAGAGAACAGAATATTCCATTACCTCATCAGCCAGAAGAAAAAGTTTCTCTTCCCAAGCAAAGTGTATCACATCTTCAATGCACTTTCTGTTTTGCACCTGTCCTGTAGTTTGGTTTTTAAAGCAAGAAGAAAGTTAGTGGAGCATATATATGCAAATCTTTTTGCCCAGACCTAGTTACACTACTAGCTCTTCAGTAAGATATCCCTCTTTCTCAGAAAAGTGCTACTGATTTTAGAACTCAATTCACTAACTGTGAAATTAAGGAACAGTTTTGGAGAAATTATGGTTCAAGGTAACTTAGTCCATCTTAAGTAACCGAAGTGTGAGATACAGTAATCAATAACTTATTAAGAGTAGTCTATATAACTGATCATTTGAAATACATGCATGATGGTTAAGTGGGAGCTAGTTTCTCACTAATGAACCTCAACTACTCAAAAAACTAAATTCTTCTGAGGGAGGCAGTGGTTGCCACTGAGTTCAGAGTGTATTTGTAGTCATTGCCTCTCAGAGGCAAGAGGCTCCAGGCCATGTCAGAGACAAGATCTTTGATAAAGACCAAAAGTGACTGAAAGTCATTCCACAAGTCTGCAAAAGTTCAGTGGAAGCGGTGGCTTCAAATGGGATCCAGTGAAGCGAACCTGCTCCCTCCTCTTTTCCCAAGTCCCTGGAGTTCCATGATACTGAAAATAAGTTTCTAAAAGTATGACATACTGTCCTACTTAGAGCACTGATCTCTAGAACTCAGGTTTACATATTTGATAGGTATTGAGGATTTGCCTGCAATGTCAAATGAATGAAAGAAGAAAAAAAATAAATTGGTCCTAAACCCCATCCATTACACAAAATTGCTATAGACCTGTGGGATTTCCAGGGTTGATGATGCAGAGGACCTTTGGATTGCAATATGCCTTAGCTTCATTCAAGGAACGGCGAAGTTCATTCACATTTAGAGCCCAGCAATTTTCTTCATCCAAATAGTAGTTCACCTGGATAGCATCTAGTTCAGATATGGCTGCTGAATATAAAGGATATTGTGGTATAGGGATCATCACTCCTGTTCGGGATTTTCCACCTCCTGAGATCAGGATCTTTAAAATTGTCTGGAGAAAAAGTAGGAATTTAAAAAAAACAGTCACACACCAGAATTAATAGTATACTCTAGAATAAGTTACTGATCTTCCTTAAAAAATCTAGAGTGAAGGTAGATTTCTATTCCAGAGGCATACAGTCATTTTTTCATATCAAAGGGCATTTATTTCAAGTTAAGTTACTGGCTGAGTGAGGATGGTCTAACAGCTTAATGGAATGCCTCTGCATGTCATGGCTTCTAAAGATCATGTCTGATCAACTGCAAAATTTAGGAAAAACATTCTGAGCACAAGGCTAGAGGGAATGTTGGAAACAGGAATATCAAGATCATGATTTTTCTACTGTGCCCAGTTGTAAGCAAAGAAGCCTCAGCTAGTTGTTGCTTGTTGCTTCCACTCATTTTATCTCTCTAAATGCAAGAGGCCAATAAATAAAAACAGAAATTAGAACTGGGGCCTGTGGAGGTTTTCCTTTGGAAGAGAGAGACCTGTTTTAGATTAGGAGCAATTGTGGCCAGGTGGGAACAAAGTTAGAGACTCACATTATGATTTCATTTTCAAGTAATAGAAGAGACCTAAAGTCTGCATGTCTTGGGATGGAAATATAATGTATCATATGTAGTTTATGCCCAGAAGATACAGACAGAAATGTAATGCTTGTGCTACAGTCAGTCCAGAGGATTTACCTGTGCCCAATGGCTGTGTGTCTGTGTGTGTCTATGTGAAGGCTTTTTCCATGTGAATTAAATAAAAGAGTGCTTTTGGTGCAGGAAGTGGAGAGATTTCTTGCCTTTATAATCAAGGGAGAACTCTGAAATACAGGTGCAATCAAAGCAGGCATCCTTACCAACATGTAATTGATAGTGTAAAACCAAAAATACCTCTTCAGATATAACAGTGGTATCCTTTAAGTTTCTCATTGGTTTTAGAACAAGATCTGCCTTTCTGTGCCTCTCATCACATACTAACTCAGCTGCTAAGCTAATGATTTATAATCAACATAATTTTGTACCCACCACTAGTTGAAAAATACCAAGCATCCAAAATGTATAATCAGGACCAAATGCAAACTTAAAACTTCTTAATACTCTCTGTCCCCCAAGTTATGAAACAATAGTTGTTTTATCCTTGAAAGTGCCAAATAATGAGACTCATGGTACTTCTGACTTTTCATCACTGGTGAAAGCAAATAAGCATGGTACAGATTTGATATGCTACGCTGCCATTCCCGACAAGCTGCCAGTATAACACTTGGCATCATAAACTCTGGACAGCCAATTCACTAAAGACATCTGGAGAACTGTTGATGTCAGAACATTGCCATTCTGAACTCTGCCACTAGATGTCATTTTAAAAAAAGCTTTTAGAAACAAGCTATAAAAGGCTGCCTTAATAAAAGCAGTTATTCCTATCTTAACTGAGGACCATTTTTGAACCTTGGTTGAAGCCAAACCCTGAAGTTTTTCCCAAACAAGCTGGCTACTGAAATAGATCTTTGGTATTTTCACTGGCATTAATCTGCACTAGCAGAGAGTTTGCTAGGAAGAAGAACTGCTGAGACTTCTCACCTCCGAGGTCATTCCCTCTTCTCTTTGCCACTGCTTCATGCCCTCTAATCTTCAGTGCTGATGTATCTTAACCACTGAGGACACCATTATTTAGTCTGAATGTTCTGAATCTCCTAAATTTATATTTAGGCACCTACATAGTTTATACTACCTTTACAAAGGGTACAAGTTAATGTATATTAAGAGACTTTGTCTCCACGCGCCTGTTTCTTGGCTGGCATCTTACATCCACACAATTGGGTGTATTCAATATCCACTTGATGTGACTTCAGCATCTGTCAGATCAAACTCACAGGAGTTTGTGAAACCAGATGTTCAACAGAGATCTGTATTTCCAAAGGTAACTGATAAATTATAGTTTATACCAAGAAGAGACAGGTTTAATTTTAACACTTACAGCAATACCATCACTTGCCCCAGTGGTAAGATATATGTTATCTGGATCTGCAGGAACCCCTCCATCTCTTCTTTCAATATATGAAGCAACATCTTCACGGATGCAATTTATACCTTGACTGGCACTGTAAGATCCTGTAAAAAATAATGAATGAGATGAGAATCGAGTACAATGAACATCAGATTTTCTGTTTGCTAGCAAAACTCCTAAGCTAGTATTGTATGAAGTAGTTTGTATATATAAGGGCTTTGGATCCCCAGGATTGGTTTGTTTGTTTGTTTTTTCAAGGAGTAGGAGAGGGAGTTGGTTTGTTCATAGACCAAAAGAATTCCTCTGGAATTAGACAAATATAGTAAGTATCACTAAAATACAAAAATAATACACTGGATTTGTAAAAAGTAGGATTTAAAGGCTACTTTGAAAACGGGGACAGCAATCCCAGTTGCTTTCTTTATGTTGAAAACCACTTCAGAATGTCAGCCAACACCTATTTAAGTACTGGGAACAATGAACAGAGATAGCATGTACAATAGAAAGGAAAATAACTTCTTCAAATCCATGACAAAAATAAGATTTCTATTTGCAACATGAAAATAATATAATACCATTTTCTCCCACAGTCTAAAACCCCCCAAATCCTGAACTGCTCTCTCTTCCCCACAGCATCTCCCACAACCGCTTTTCAGTTACTTGTAGCAGAAACATCTGGGATCACCCCAATCTATAAGCCTCGTGCAGTTTACTGAGCACAACTAATAATCTTAAAGTAAGATGTTAGATGCTTGTGTGCATCATTGCTGAGCATGTGAAACAAATAAAGAGTAAAAATAAGCCTAAGCCAAGGTGAGGAATGGATTCAAGCTATGAGGCCTAAAACTAATGGACAATGAAGTGACAAGTGTACATCTAATTTAGAACACTGTCATGAAGCTGCAGAATCTTCTTTGCTTGTTGGGTGGAGTGGAATAATTGTGCCTGACTTAACTCTCATCGCTCAGTTATATGCTAGTAGTCTGCCTGATAATACTTCTGTGAAAGCATAATTTATAAAGACAAAGAATCTTTGCAAGTACTGCACAATTGCATGGGACAAAATGGTAATTCAGGGCACAAAGTTTCCTGATGTCCCAGATATTTACTTTTACAGGACTAAAAGCTATACTGGGTCTTTGACCACAGATAGGAAGCTGCTGTTAAAGTGGGAGAGCAAACCTAAGCTGTCATTCTGTCTTGTGCTCTGTTGAGGGCTGAGTCCCATGACTCAGTGAGGATATACAGAAGACCTGAATTCAATTTTCAGGTCTTCTACACTTAATTGTACTCAATTGATAGCTTTGACTAGAATCCACCTGTTTGTACTGTGGGATGCAAATAAATAAACCCAACCCAATAAGCTGCGTGTGCATATATTAGATATTTTTATATATAGGACAGGGGTCAATTTCTCAACTGCCTGGAAAGATATGACAGTTATCCCACACGCAAAGTAAGTGAAGTCAAAAGCATCCCAGAGCATTTGAACGCAACAGAAGTTGAGGACATATCTGAGCCTTCATACATGGTCTGGGAGTAGCAAGACTCAATACTATGAGTAGGGTTTTGCCAAATGAATGTTCAGTGGAAGTGAGGTTATTCTAGTTCATAGCCAGAAGTCAAGAAATTCACATTAACTTTGCAATTAATACATTTAAATAGGCCACTATAGATGTGGGTACAATGCTTCAAATAGTTTGACCATATATAGCGAAGCCACTTCTGTGTTGGATTGACAAATTTTTTGAAAATAAGGTTTTATTAGAGCACACCATAGCACTTAAAGCTACATGGAGGGATCATTTTTGGACCTTTGCTTTTTCCCAAGAAAGCCAATTTCTCCCTCTCAGCCATGAAGAGAACAGCAGTTGTCAGACTACCAACAAAGTGATAGGACTAAGTTCCACTGAGCTGCACATCCACTTGCCTCAGACTGTGTGTTTATGGAGTGCTGTGCAGAGGCTGATGAGCAACTGAGGCCAAGAGAAGGGGCTGATATATGATACTGGAGACAGGGAGGGTGGAGAGAAGGCATAAACCAGTACAGCAGATTAGTAAGGTCTATAGTGGGTTTAGTTTTCAGGGATTTAGAGGGACAGTTGTTCTTGGTACATACCATATTGGGAAAAAAATCATTTAGACTCCAGTTACTTAAAGAACTTAAATTTATCTATCCACTGAAATTAAAAGGGTGTATTCAGAATGAGCATCTTATTTGAATACTGCAACTGTGTCAGGCCTACTTCCTTAGTGTCTACTGAGCTAATGCACATTACTTGAAATATATGATCTGCTGAAAAGGAGATTTTGTACAGACTCAACGTATTTCTAAAATATCATGCAAGGCTGAATTCCTTTCATTTCACTCCAGCATGGGGCCATGACCCAGCATTCTGAGAACTCTTACTATGTACCTGAATTTGAAAATCGCTACAAAGAAAGAATAAGGCAAAATTCAAATGTATCCCCAGTAACTCTTAAATGACAACTAGTACTATGTGGATTAATTGTTCCAAAGTAAGCCAGGAAAGGAATTAATGGAGCTGGAGGAACTTCTCAGTTGTGATAAATGTATTTTTAATGTTCTACATTAGAAACAAACCCAATGCAAAACAGGTGAAGATAAAATACATGCTGTATTAGGCTGTGTTGTTAGGATAGTCCAAGGCTGAAGTACTGCTAACGTAACCACTATTTAGGTTTTGTTTATTTTATTGTTTCACAGCACCTGTTCTCAAAATATGCCAGTGCAAATAGGCACTGCAATCACAAAGATTAAGAAATATACCAATTACTCTAATACGTACTCTGAAATGTTACTGTTAGCCTACCTGAAAGAAGGTAATTAAGTGTGCCAGATTCTTTGCCGTACCCAGCAGCTGTAACACTATCTGCAGAGTAGAAATTCTAGTGGCATTTCCCAGGTACACGTAGGCAGTACAGTTGCTAGATGATAAAGAATTTGTCTCTTCCATTTCCTCTCTACTGAATATGCAAAGTTTGTACTTATTTATGTGTATATTATATGTATACTTTTGCAGGAACAGTGATTGAATAATGGAATTCTTTAGTTCTTTCAAAGGTTATTTTACCTTAGAGAAATAGGGCTTTAACATCTTCAGTTAAAACTATCTATCTCAGCTAAGTAAAAAGCTACCACCTTTCAGCTGTGCAGCTTTCCCTTTGCAGAGCATTATCACCTTGGTACTTCAGTTTCTGATGCCTCAGTTCATATCCTAACAAACATAGTTGGACTGATGGTTCAAAATTAAGATACAGGACTGTGAACTGGATCAGCTGAGATGGACATATATTGTTTGTTGATACCATCATTACAGGGACAGTAGAATCCTTGGCAGAGAAACTTCTAGAGCTGATAAAATTGTGAACAGCCCCACCTAGACTTAGCAGGAGACATAGCTGTCAGAGCCCAGGATTAACAGATGTCATAAAAACAGTAAAAAGCTTCACTAGTCCTCTCCAACAAATAACTTTTCTAATACAAAAAAGCTCAGCATTCTGTTTAGGGTTATGCCTAGATGTTATTTTGGTGAGGGCTCCATAACTGTATAATCCTCATCTTGTCCTCTTCTGTGACAAGCCTCATCAAAAATTTGCACTATTAGTCACTGTTTATCAGAAGGCCATGCTGTGAGCTCTCCCCCTATCATTTTGCCCTAGGCCATCTCCCATTTGACTTGTAATCATATAAAACACGATTAAGAAATTTCAGCACTGCAGATATTGAAACTACCTTTGTTGATTCTAATAGCAACAGGAGCAACTGAAACAGATGCTTACCTAAGCTGTTTCCTCCACAACCCTGCAAAATCCGTCTGGCTCGCTTTTTGGCATCTTCTGGAAAACTTGGGCTGTCCAATAGGTTTGGGTATGTACACAGTGCCACTACCTAAAGTGCCAAGAAAATGTAAATTGGCCACTTCTCAATGGTTATTTTAAGTTGGTAATATTACTGTTAACTTTCCTTGGAAATGAAGATCACAAATACTAGCTAATTTTAAACAAAGGTTATTGATGAAGAGTTTGCAGTTATTTTTTTAAGGGTAGTGCTTACAGAAGTGAAGAAATCTTAGTGGGTTCTGAGTTCTGCTGATAAAAACCGTTACAGAATTATTAACTATTTGTATTATGGACAGTGAAGACTGGAGTCCAATTGAGCTATGCATAGTGCAAACACAGTAAAACACAGTTAATTATTCATATATTATCTCTAAACAGCTCTATCCTCCACACTTTGTGTATTATTAGCCCACTTGTGTATTACTAGACCACTTGACCAGAAATATGGAGCAGGACTGAGAAATATGATCAAATTTTGAAGTCCTAGTTGCATGTTCTAGTAATCCTTCCCCAAAATAACTTGTAGTTATTACTAATTTGAATTTGCGGGAAATATTTAATTAAAAAAGAAGTGGTGATATAGAACATCGTAAAAGTAGAAACATGACCTAGCAGAATTAAGTTTATGAAGAAATGTAAGACAGAAAGAATCTAGAGGTCTTGCCTGAGACCAGTCTCTCTCTCATTTTTATGCTTACATGGTGTAATATGGATAGGCTGTTGTCATCTTATCAGACAATGACTAAAAGATTAGTCCATGTGTGCACACAGTCATGGGGAGAAAGGATTTCCCATTTGCCCAGTATTTTCTTTAATAACATCCGATCTGAATAATTTGTAAGAAGCTCTGGTCTTCCTAGTTTGCTGACAGTTTGCTGTATAGCTCTATTTTATAACCTCATCACCTGGACGCCCAGTTTGATACAGCTTCAGTTTGTCCCGGGACTCTCTGAATTTACATTATTATAGACTGAGGATTTTACATGTGTGTGTAAGGGATGGTCAATAAATAGCGTAATCCTAGTTTTAAACCTTGCTTGTGTTTTAGGAATAATATACAAATGTGGATTCTGTTGTAGTCTTTTCTAAAAGCTAACCTACCAATTAGCTTGCCCAGAGCTAAAATGTGCAAAATCAGCAACAGTACAACTAGTTGTATCCAACTGTGTGCAGATCTTAAAGTATGCTGTCAGATAAAGAAAGGCATTTGCTTTTTTCTTTGAAGACAACCACTTTCTTTTTTGAAGTGCATTATTGATAATGAATGTGCTGACTGGTAACATAGGAGAAGTGGCAGGAGAAAGTATGGATGGGGAATGATCTGAAAAGTAAGGAAAGCTACTGTGTTGAGGGAGGACACTCAGCAAGAAAGGTATAGGACTTCGTCTCAGAAATCAAAATTTGTAGTAAGTGCAGTTAGGGAATCATTATACTGATACACACACATCAGATTTTAATGCATTCATGGTAATCTAATAAAAAATCAAGGATAATATTTTATAAGATACTTACCTGACGGAGAAAGGTGATTGGCCTCTGTCCCATGGCATGTGCATCTCCAATGTTGGCTTTAATTACTTCAGTAAAAGGTTTTTTGATTCCCTAAAAAAAGATAATTCATAATGTATTGTTAGGGCTGAAGTAGATGATAAAGAATTCCTCTTTTTTGGTATCTGTCATATAGCTGTAACTAAACAGTGCCTAATCTCAGAACAGATAGTGTGTTTAATATAAAGCTTAATGCATTTCTTAAACAATACTGCCAGTAAATCTTAAATGCTTTACAGAAATGATGCTAATTGTGACACATTTTTAAATGATAGGCTGGCTTTTTTTTTCTGCTAGCTACAAGTAAGAGATTGCCTTGCCTGGAAAATACACATTGAAGTAGAAAAGATGAAAAAGAGGCATTTTGAATTGTCAGTTAGAGCAACTTGTTTGATACACCTAAGGGAGGGATGGATCAGTCAAGGAGCTAAAAAGATTTGAGGACATTTGAGAAATCCACCAACAAAAGAAACCTCAAGACCTTTAGTACTTTTTAGAGTAAAAAGAGTAAAGATACTGCTTTCTTATTTATTTTCTATTTAGATTAAATATTCATTGTGTGATGACCCCACTTTTCCATATACAGGTGTTTTACAAAGTAGATCACAGTGAGGCTCTATATGATAAACAGCAGAAGTGCTAAATAATCACCATGAATATTTAAAAGCTTCCTAATCTCTGAAATCTGAACAGACAGCCATTTTTCCTATGAGGAACTGAATACATCATGAGAACAGAGGGAAAACAGTTGATGAATGTTGATTAGCAATCACAGCTCTTTAAAAAGCAAAATAAAATAAGGGAAAAAAGGCAAGGAACTGATTGGTAGGAAAAAACACCATTGATTTAAATAAGAAAAGATTAACTGAAAGTAAAGGCCAACATTACAAGAAGAATAAATCAGGTAGGCAAGAACAAATTTATAGCTTTTCTAATATATATTAAATATGAGAGATAGTAGGGAGGCCTTACAACAGTGACGGAATTTTCATGTGGACTAATGAACTGCAAAATTAGACCGATTAGTTTTTCTGTACAAAATTACATATAACAAACTGCTGTGGCTGTGGACTGAACTCACAAAGCCTCTTCCTGGCCCATGTATTTACAGCAAGTTATTGACTTTGGATATAGAACATGTGGCTGGCAAGCCTTAACTAATTTTTGCTTTTCTACCATGGATTATGTGTTGGACTTCAGTGACAGACTGGAACCCAGATGTGCAAAGATAACAATGACCAAAATATTAGTAGTCACCAGGGATACAAATTCCCAGATTTGGAGGTTTACAGCTGCGTCATGTGGCCAAGAGGTTATGTGATAATGGGATTCAAATTCCCACTACAGATCTAGTCCCTAATATAACTGATAGCATTTAGGTTTTTCTTTTGAAATTAAATAGGTAGTTAGAAATGTCTTGTCTTAAAACAAGACAATTGGACTTACATCATCCTGACTCAAAAGGGTCAATTTTATATAAAAACGTTCACTTAAAATAATTGAAAGTGACACACTGACTCCCTCAAGTCATTTGCTTTTATGTCTGCTGATCTAAGTGAGTGCCTAAACAAGAGTGTATTTCAACCTTACATAAAGAATTAGGAATAGGGATGCCAGATAAAGATTACAGGTATCTGAGGCTGAAGTTTAGCAATTTATGAGAAATGCAAACAGCTAGAAATAGGTTCTCTTCAAACTATCTGGGGTCCACTGATAGCACAACATTGTTTCATTCTGATTTACAAATAAGCAGGAAAAGAAAGATACATATAGAAGGAGAACAAATTCAGTTTGCATGAAATTAAGAAAAATTGCCACAGATTTTGGTTATATTTGGTCCTTCTTAAAGCACACTGAATCAGTGTCACTAGATTTGCACAGTAATACAAATTTGTTAAAGAATAAGGGATGCCTTAAGTTAGGCAGTCTAAAAAACCATAGCAGTTCTCAGCAATAAGATGAAACAGAAATACCCTGTTTTACCAAATTAAAACCAGAACAAACAAAACCCCTAACAACATAAATATATTATGTTAGACAAATGAGATGGTTTTGCACAAAAATACTATTGTGATCTGCAATAAAAAATAGTCGCTTCTTTGGTTAGTGAAATGCTGAAAGGTACCCTGCATTTCATAATGTACCTTTGGAGTTTTTATATATGCAGCCTTTACAACAAAGGTAGTAGACCTTTTTGGTGTTTGTGTCAGGTTTATTGTAAATAATGTTGTAGCTTATTAGCATTGATACCATCCAGATCTCTGCTAGTGCCAAGCTCAGTGTTTATGCCATCACTGCCTTTGGGCATCAACTGTGATTATATAATCATCACCTACTCCATAAACCCCACACTACCTTTGCTACTAAAATAATTGATCTGGAGAAAATAGCAAAACACAGATAACAGTTTTCTTACTGTAAAATCCTGGTAGAGAAGGAACAATTAGGTTTTCTGTGTTGTACACACTGTTCCCACATGCCTGCTTAAAGGCCTGTGGTCCTCTTGACTAACTTGTGTTTCTTGGTCTCAGCTACAACAGCTGTTGCCCTTTTTCTCTTTGAAAAGAGAGATGCTTTTTAAATAACTGGGCCCTTTGCCTTCCCTGACAATGAGTTCATATCAGCAATTGTTTAGAGCTGTCTTCATGAGATTGACTATATCCCCTCCTAGTGAAATCTAGAAAAAAATTCTTATGACTATCTCGTCTTTTTCTGTTACTTGATTTCCAGTCTTTCTATGAAAAGAAGGAATACCATAAGTTGTTCAGATTTAGTTTTGATTCCTCCAGAACAAAAAGTTCCATCTTACCATTTCGGAGAGAAGGAACAGGAAGCAGTAACAGGCAAGAACAGTGTTGAATGCTAATGAGTTAAAGTTTCAAAGCAAGAATTATCAGAAGCTGGCATCAATGGGAATCTAGACAGTGCCTATGACTCTCTACTTAAATCCTTAAGACAGAGTGGCATTAGTCACTAGTTACTTGTGTCAAGGTTTCTGCTATGGTGACGGCACTGATGTGCATGGGTATCCAAAGGAAGATTAATGTCAAATACTTTCTGTAAGGTCTGTGAAAAGATCTGCGTGAAAGGAGGAAGTATGAATGTGATGTTGATAACCTCAACATCAGGTTGTAGAACAGCAGGAAAAGTGCTGCAACAGGACATAGTTTGTTAGGGCAAGATTTATTTCACTGCAGAAGGCTAAGCAGTCTTTGACCATGTCAGCAACATGCCAGTGCTGAGACAATTTAAGTCCCTGGCAAGCCAAGGAACATATGGGGGGAGCAGAAACTAAGCCATTGGAATTGTTTTGCTTTCTTCTAGTGATAGAGAGCTGCCCCCTGCCCCCCACCTCTCTCTCTCTCTCTCATCCCCTCTCATTCTCTTTCTTTCCGCCCCCCCCCCCCCCCCCGTACAGGCAGGCTTTCAAGGTGTGTTCTAGAGGCAGTCTGACTGGACTGTAACTGGCCTCTGCCAGCAGACAGAGATTTGGAAAAGTGAAGCTTGCAGAACAGGAGCTCTAATAACAAACTCAGGAGCAGTAAGTACCAGATTGATACTCATGTCTACTTAAGAGTGTATGAACCACATCAAGGAGGAAAACCAATCCCCAGCCCTACAAAACAACCACTGCTACAGCCTTCTGCCTTTGGTGGCACCTCACACTGTCCTAACAACATGATTCATCTCCATCTTGGGAACAAAGCCAATCTTCTGCAATTCTTTTGAAATTGTTAGCAAAGGGACTAACTGTGGTAACCATTTTTAAAGCTGAAGAAGCCATCTTGCACTTTCAAATTCGGATCTAAAGCAGAAAATATAAAAATGTGTTCACTTTTTTTTTCAGATGCTGTCTTCTTGATAATGAAAGGATTTTAATGGAATAAAGGAATCGTCCCAGATTTGGAATAAGCTCTTCAGAAATTAGTTCCTTCAGCAGTTACTTCTGTCACTCTCCTCTTCTCAGAGGAAATGCAGTGTTTTAAGAGACCAGATGAAAAAGCTCTGAAACCTGAGCAGGTCAGACAGGATTATTCTAACAGCTTTATCAGTGTTCTAAGTATCACATAAAGTGGGGAGAAGGCATTTTCATATGTGAACCAGAATTCATTGGTGCAGAGTCGATACAAATCTTTATGTAGTTAGCCAGGTTTGGAGAAGCTTCCTCTTCCCCTTCCTTCTGGGCCTCAAGAAACCCAGCAGGTAAGGAGTACAGTATGAAATCATGAACTGTCTCTCAAGAAGAGAGTCACCATGCAAGAAGTGTTGGGAGAATTATTTGATCAAAGAAATGATATGATGCCAGAACATACACTATCCCAAAGAACTAACATGAAGGCAGTGCACTGCCAGGAGCTGGTTTGTCTCTTAGGAGTTTTAGTATGCCTGGAGGTTCCCTTTACGATGGTGCCATCTAAGAATTCTGGCAAAGTGCAAAATAACACTGTGCCCAGAAAGAGTAAAGAAGGGTGCAAACTGACCTAAAGCTGTCTTTGCTAAAGTCTTCACCAAATTTCAAAGGAAAACCCTCAGTCTGTAGAGAGGCTTGTGTGGCTTGGATTTGGTAATGGCGATAGGAAAGATTTGAAAAGGTTTCCCCTGAGGAGGCCATAAAAATGTGAGGTGCTTTTAATCCCAGAAGAGCAACATGGTATTTCAGCTATTTCTGAATTTCAGAATTTGTCCACTCTTGGCTGCTCCTCATTGTTTCATTTTCATTGCCATTGCTTTGTGCCTCCTCTTGATGGTTGTCAGGCAATAACACACTATGAAACATTGTGCTATTTCCTTAGCATAAGCTGAGTCTGGTTTTGCTGTGACTTGCACAAACAAGCTGTATAATAAGAGAGCTGGCAAAACCAAACATTTCAGTATAGTTGAGATCTATGCTGTAGTAGTCAAGTTGCTTGCTTGCCCCCCCCCCCCGGCCCAAAGGGCTGAGAAAGCACTACCTAGAGGCCCTTAACTAATAAGGACTTGAAGGCCTGAATTAGCATTCCAATCTTTTTATTAAAACAGCTCACAGCAGAAAAATAAACCTGACCTGCTTACCACAGAATAAGGCTTTGAGTTTGTGTTATTCCAGATGACATGAATTGTTGTTGGAAGGAAGGAGAAGGCAAAGTCTGGATTTTGACTTGAAATGGCAGTGATGACTTGCATGCCCCCTAATATTAGATGAGAAAATTGGTGGGGCTGACCATTAATTGGAAGATCTGATGCAGGGATTACAGAACAGGAGTTGTCCTCAAGTTACTTTTGCCTTATACGTTGTTCAAAGTGTATTTGCATTCAGAAATTTTGCCTATGTGAATAAAGGCCTAGATTTTAATGTGACTGTAAATGACAGAATTAAAATAATGCTTATTAGAAGGAGATTAGACATTAGGACCCTCTTAACTTGAAGACCTATTCGAAAAGGGCTATTTTGGAATAGATTTTGCTACTGAATTCAACAAGAAAAGGTCAGATAACTGGATCTTGTGGACTGTGTGCTTCTGAACATATGAGTTTGGTAATCATACTCTTAAAACTGATGTTCTTTCATTTTCATCTGCAGTAGTTTTTGCCCTGTTAAAAAACATGGATTTTACTACAGATTCGCTTCTGTATGCAACATGTACAGGCAACTGAGGAAAAACAGTTCTGTCTTAATGAGGTCAAATGCTCTTGCCTGGAAGATACTTTCTTAGTGTGCACACAGTCACGTATTCAAAGCAGAAAATTACAGGATGGTAATTTAAGCTTAACATCTTTCATTACTGGGTATACAAGTCAATCTTGTATCTTTTTCTTGGCATGTCAAATGATATTTCTGCATGTCATTGTCTAAACTGTGTTATATCTTTCCACAACTCCCAGGGACACAGTCAACTTACATTTACAATTAAGTCTGGATTCTAAGTCAGAATTTTTTCTATTCAATTTAAAAACCTGAAGAATTAGTAAAAAAAGAGAAAAGCTCTACAGTCTTTTAACCAAAATACTTCAGCAGAAGCCGCCTAAGATTATAGCTACATAAGTAAAAGGGATTTTGGTAGTTTTATTATCTAATAATAAACCAGTGACTTGAATAAGCATGCAACAAGAGCCTGTAGTTATACAAATGAAAAACATGGGCACAGGAGATGAGTGTACAACCCTTTTACTGTAAAACTAAGTCAGGCTACAGTGGCTATTCAGAAAAAAAAGGGACTTCAATGTGTAGAGACTGCATAGTGCCATTAAAGGCACGTAGTTCCAGACCCAGTGGTGGAATGTGCTAACCACCTGTCCTGATCTGAAGGAACTTTCTACATGCTACCAACATATCTCTGCATACCATCCCTCTACCCCTGTCTGCCCTACAATTCTGTTTCAGTAACTTGAAAGTTGTGAACAGGGACCTAATGTTGTGTGACTTACACTAAGCCAGGCACAGTTTCCAGTGTTACGAGTTGACTTGTGGATTCTAAAATGCTGTTTAATATGGACACGCTTTGCAGGCATGTGTAAGCCAACTTAACCTGACACAGAACTTGACATTATGTAAAACCTAAGCAGGAAAAGGGGAAAATAGGATAGTGTAAGTGGAGAGAGATCTCAGGGTAACAGATATGAAGGGACTTTCCATAACAAGGTCAGTTAAAATTAGCACAAATGCAAAGTAACAAATCAGGTACATGTGCTGTCTGTGTAAAGATAAAACTAGCTTGTTATTACTGATTAAGTAAAGAGAAGGGCTCTGTCCAGTGACTACATTATTCTTGCATTGAATTCATGTTCAGGCTAAAATTTCTAGTCTGAAATGTAATTAAAATCAATACTTGATATGGTGGCCATCTGTTAGCAAGTCTAAAAACAAGGGGATAGAGAAAAGATCTTATTTCTTTGAGTTCTATTGAGAGTATAATAATTTATTAAAATATGCCTGTGCTCTAGCTTGCTTTCAGAAGTTTCCAGAAACACCAAGGAAAATGGCTGAAGTCTGTTCTTTCTCCATGTATCACCTTAGTAAGCCAGAATCAGCTGATTATTACCTTTAGCAAAGGGGAAGAGAAATCAGGTTTTCACTTTTGAAGCATGATGCAATTTCAAAATGATAAAAAAAAAATATTCAGAGAAGTGATTCAAGTAAGTGATTTTGCATAAAGATTTCCAGCTGGAAAGACTTAATGTAGATCAAAACCTTGATTTTCCACCTAGATGAATACACGTAACAGGCCAACAAAATTTATGAAATCCAAGAATGGCATGCCCCATCTGTACTCCTGAACTATCAATCTTATTCTGCTTTAATAGAGTATTCTAACTTGTCACTTAATTGGCTTAATCCTGAGCACATTAGCTGAAATTAATGCCTCATTTTTATTTACCTTTTTAAAGAACTATCCCTTAAATTGCCTAGTTGGAGACTTCTCAGTTACCATCTTAGTCCTTATTTCTATGTGCACTGTGGAGTTACAGCTCCTGTTGTAATCATTTGCAGTTAATATACAAAAGAAGCAAACGTCAGATAGAACAACAGAGGAACTGCTATTCAGAGTCTGAGACAGCAGAACAAAACTCAAGGAAGACGAAAGCTTACACTGTGCAAACAGCTTGAAGTTGCTATTTTATAGTCTACATAACAAGCTGTGTAAGTTATATAAGTATAAAGTCTAACTGAATTGAACGAAGTTTAAGCAGGGGGAGCCTCTATTGCATCTGATAGACAATGTCTGCATTTAAGATGCTTCTAGTTTAGAAACAAATGACACAAAGGCATCTTGGCAGAACAGGACAAATGCAGATTTACTAGTGGGTATATCATTGCTTCACCTCTGCTTGCTCTTGCTACCACCAGCCAGTGTAGCACTTCCATGTCATACTATGGAGTCTGTGCTTTCATGCCCATCCAAAGCTACTTCCCCGTCATATGTAGTAGAGTTGCTGTGGGGCAACCGTTTTGCTGTCAGTGAAGAGTAATCATGGATCTAGGCATGTAGTGGGGCATCACCTTTCTCTGACAACTGCTTCAGCCTCTTTTCTTTATCAGGCAGTGTTAATTCTGCTGGCAGTGGTTGACCTAACTCTGTGAGCTAAGGTTGAGAGAGATGAAAAAAGTAGTTGTCCAGTTTTAATTAAAAGTAAACAAAGAAGTGCCATTGACCTGTGATCACAGAGAAGTCAACTTTAGACCAAAAAATAGACATTTAGATAACCTGTATTTCAATTATAAGGAACCTAGGTACTACTCAAGGCTGTATACTTTACCAGACAGTTTGATTAAACAATAGAAGGAATAACAGTACTTTTACCAGAAAGGCAAAGAGGAATGAAAAACTTGAGCAGTGTGGAAGAAAAAGTCTTTTAGCTGCTTCCTTAAGTTGATTAGTGTTTTCTGCAGGTACACTGCTCAACTTTTGCAGTAATACTGTCCTCCTTCCCTGCCAACAGGGAGGTTTTTGTTTGCTTTAGTCATTTTAGTCACATGTCTATGAATGCTGGTAGCCATTGATAATATTCCATGAGACTGATTCAAGAAAAAAACTTCCAAATGGAAAATGCCATGTAAGCAGGGACAAAACTGCCATAACAATCTTTTAATAACAACTTGCTCTTGCATTTTTCAAAAAGCGCACAGAAGATTATTCTCTCTGCCAGTGACTCAGCTGGTAATTGAAGTAAGCAGGGGAGTTGGGAGGAGTTAGTGAAGATGGTGTTCTATTTGCTTTGTCAAGTAATATCTCCTGCCCTGTGATGTTAACTTGAAAACAAACATACTCAGTGAGAACACTGGAAGATTTTATACTCTGGAAAATGCACCTACTAGAGAACCTAGTTGCATGAAGTCAATGACACCTTTATAAACAAGTTTTAAGGCAAAAGCAAAATGTTCTGAAATGAAATCTCCATCACCACTCTGAAGTTTTTAAGTAGAATTCTAAAAAAGCTGTTTTTAATAATTATTGAGTTAGACATAAGTAATTGATATATATAATACACAGTGAGCTGAAAACGTGCTTCGCCTTCTAAAACAAGGGGAAGCAAGTAACACAAAGACCAAACAATTAAAATAATCTCTTCTCGTTAGCATTGCTGTGGCCCTGTTTTTGTTCAAAGCACTTTATATATACTAATCAAATTGGTCTGCAGTACCTGTAATAACATATTAGCAAGACTTTCTAAAGCAATGAAGGCAGGGAATAATACTTGAAATCATGGAAAAGTAACTATGCCAGATGCTTTATTCAAAACAAAAATAAGTGAGTCCTCATGCTGACAGGGGAAGCTGTGATGTGAACAGTACTACCAAAAACCAAGCCTGAATTGCTAAGAGTTTGGGGTTTTTTCAATGTTAAGTCTCAATATTAAGATAAGGAGTAAGAAAAAAACATGAAGAACAAAATGTAAGCACTGACTGATCTGGATGCTTTATTTAGTACATTTTGGCCCAGACCCCGAGGAGTATCTTGTGTCAGGCTTTATTGCCCAATCCTCCTAAAAGCGCTAACCACCTAAAACCTTGGGCAGCGTTACCAAGCGTTTGTGCTTGGAAGGCTTGTCCTCAAGCACCTCAACTTCTGCCATTAAGAAAAAAGAAGCCCAGTGTCTGTGGTGTCCTCAGAAAGCATTAGTCTCCCCGGCTCTGGAAAACCCAGAGGCAGAGGAGTGCTGGGTGAGGCTGCGGAGCTGTGCCGGGGAAGAGCTGGGTCCATCTCACGTGTTCGGAGACCGCCGGTTTCAGAGGTGTCTCCCTGCCCCGGCGAAGGCAGTATCTCTAAAATCCTCAGGAACGCTTTAAACGCTTTATCAGTATGATGAAAGCTGGTCAGTCACCCTCTTGTATGACACAAAGGACGTGGGATTGCAGCAAAGGGTCAAAGTGGCTGAAGA